CCCAAAACCCCAAAACCCCAAAACCCCAAAACCCCAAAACCCCAGTACTACCTATATTATTGAAGATCAGAATGAATCGGCCTTCTTAATAATTATAACCCCATTCAAAACATCCCAAATCACTACTATTTCAAGTATTCCAGACGTTGAAATCTCATGTTCTCCCCAAAAGCTTAACTCTAGCCTCTATCTTACAATTTCCTGCCTAAAGTTGCCACCAGAGTCCCACTGGGGTATGCCCAGGCGTCAAAAACGACACTATTAAGCTATGAATTAGTGCTGAGCCCCAGCATGGTTTAGTTGACAATAGAGCGAAGTATTGTTAAAAGAAATCTTTCCCCAGCTTGGAGAAAGATATTGGGAGGAAAATATGGGAGTGAAGATGCTGAAGTAGATATGCTTGAGTAGCTGGGTTAGGAGTAATAGAGAATTTAAAGGATTTCTGAGCGAAATCGGGACAGAAAAAGTAACATTTATCACATGACATGAAAAATCGATAGTTGCTCACTTTTTACAGGTAGAAGCAAGAAAGTCTTGTGTTTGAAAGCTTTATTTGCACATATTAAATAGTCTTTATGAATTTCATCATAAACTATGATAAATGAAGATTTGAATTTGGGGCGAATTAAGAAAATTACACTTTTAAGAATAAGAATTTAAACGGATGGGAGATCCTCCAATAATAATTGGGTCCATAATTTTACGATAGTAATGGATTATATACTAATTATCTTGCGATTTCATAAAATATAGTTTTAGACATTTTCAGATGTTGCTTCACCGATAGATGAAAATGATTTTAACTTTCTTATTAATATTCTTAATCTGAATATATCATGATTTACAGCAACACTATAATCCTTTAATTTACGTCCTATCAGTTTAAAGCTCTTTGTATTAATTTAAAAACAAAGCTATAGTACTTGCTAATAGCTATAAAAGCACCTAGCTTATAGTAATTGATGATAAATGATTTTACAGCACAAAAATATTAAAATTGTCTTAATAAGTACCACTTTGTGGATCTCAAATTCCTGGTTAATTAGTAACGATTCCTACTAGATAAACTGATATTCTCCATGAGGGGAGCTAAGATAATGGACACATATTATGATCCCCTTTGTTTATTGATAACCCCAGCTCTTTACTCATAAGACCAATAATATACTCCAAAAAGGAATTAATAAATCAGTTATTGGTTCAGAATGGAACACTTTGCTCAAAAGTTATGAAAAATTGTCGCTGACTATATTTATGCTCAGTGTGTTGCTGATTTGAAACTCTACTAGCAAAAGGATCTTAATAATCAAGATATTGGCCCAGCCCAGCTCTTTGCCAACAGATCTAACCTTGAGGGTATCCCAGAATTTAAATACTCAAAATGAAGAATAGTTGAACACAAAATCAGTTAAAGAAGCTTTCAGAGTCCATAAAAAGTATGTCCCTGACCGAGTATCCGTTAGAAGGTATTCTAATTCTCCCGAATCCCTAAAGAAGTAAATTATTGGAATTTTAATATCAACTTAGTCTCCTCTGAGTAAACCTCTGACAAAGTTCTTCAACCTTATTTGCAACTTTGGCCAGACTCTTTGCTGGGAAATATGTATTTACACGCTCGAGGTCAATATTTTGATAATTGAACTCTTTCCTAAGAATCTTCTTCAACACCTTAACTTCTCTAAAAGAGAAGTCTTTGTCCCAGAATGTTCTGATTCTGGCAAGCAGCTTCTTCGGCTTTGAGATCCAGCCGACCTTTTCACAGAGATCTTCCAGAGTGATTTCAGATTCATTCTGAAAAGAGTTGTTGCCAACCAAGATTTCAGAAACAGATAGTTCATGCTGGACCTCCATTTCTCTGAGGATTTTAAAGAGACGTTTGTCGTCTTGTTTTCCCCACCTTGTGTTTCCAACTGGAGGACTGCTTTTATTTTCAGAGTCAGTTGGTGGTGAAAGAGCAGGAGGATCAGCAAATTTGCAGCTTTTAGAATTAATTTTTGAAGATGAAGTTCACTCCTGAGTATCCTTATACTCAAACAGCAAGTTATCTTCATCAGCATAAGGATCTAATGGGCTAATGCAGTCATGATCTTGGCCAATTTGAGAACTTCTTTCTTTATCAGAATGCTTCTCAAGTTCAATTTCAAAAGCTTCTGGAAGGAATGAGCTACAATCAAGCTCTTGGAATATGCTTAAACTGTTCATATCTTTTTTATTATTAAAATCTCTATCTCATCCTAAAATTCAAATCAGAATTGTTAACTGTAAAGGTGTTTATTAGCAAGAAGAAAGAATTTATGCAAATACAATATGGAGACAAATATTTCCTTTTACCAGAAGCTCCTAATAGCAAGAGACAACTGTTTTTAAGGATTTTAGAAAAATTTAGTGAATAAATTTAATAAAATGTGAGAAAAATCAAAACCTTTAAAACATTCAGGAAAATTATCCAAAACAGCTATATTTGGTAATGGTTAAAAACTATGAAACATTTTACTCAAATAGGATCAATATTCATCCTAATTTAGGGTTATAGTGTTTACAAATGAATTGAAAGAAGCCAATCCTGAGAGTATAATATGATCCAAAGTGATCACTCCTCTCAATTTTTTATTTTATTTAACTTCTTAGTTAAATTTTTGCTGAATCCTTAATATAGCTCTTCTTAAAAAATCTGAGACTTTGAACAGGAGCCATGTTAGTAGGAATATTATTTTATGGCTTATTTGTTCTAAAACTTTATTTTGTTAATGCTTCTAATAACTCCAAAAAACTAGTGATAAAAATGAAGATACAGAAGCTCTTAGTTACATCAAATTTATAGGCAGTATTTTTAAAGTTTTTTGCTTACCTGACCACATGTTGTCTTGTCTCAAGTTGTAAAAATCGAGATTGAAATTTTGTAGGAAATCCTGAGAAGTATTCATAAATTTAAGTTAATATAATTTTCAACCTCTCAAATTTATACTGGGGTTTTGGGGTTTTGGGGTTTTGGGGTTTTGGGGTTTTGGGGTTTTGGGG